ATTGATGGGTAAGTGCACAAAATGTCTATTTGTATAGTGGAATATTATTTAGCCTTAAAATTCTGATACATGTTACAAAATGGATGAAGCTTGAAGACAATATGCTAAATGAAATAAACCAGACACAGAAAGACAAATGCTGTATGATTCACTGATATGAGGAACCCAGAGTAGTCAAATATGATAAAGACAGAAAGTAACTAGGTGTGGTGGCTCACGCCTTAAATCCCAAGACTTTGGGAGGCTGACACAGGCAGACTGCTTGAGGTCAGGAGTTCCAGACCAGTCTGGCCAACATAGTGAAACACTATCTCTACTAAAAATATAAAAAAAATAGCTGGGTGTGGTGGCGTGCACCTGTAATCCCAGCTACTCGGGAGGCTGAGGCAGGGGAATTGCTTGAACGAGGGAGGTGGAGGTTGCAGTGAGCAGAGATTGTGCCACTGCACTCCAGCCTGGGCGACAGAGAGAGACTCCAACTCGAAAACAAAAAGAAAGAAAGTAGAAGGGTGGTTGCCAGGGGCTGGTGGAGGAGGAATGAGCAAGAATTTCTGTTTGGGATGATCAGAAAGTTCTGAAGAGGACTGTGGTGATGGTTATACAACATCATGGATATACTTAATGCCCCTGAGCTGTATGCTTACACATGGCTGAAATAGCAAACTTTGTATTATGCATATTTAGCCACCATTAAAAAGTATTAGGCTGGGCACAGTGCTTCACATCTGTAATCTCAACATTTTGGGAGGCCAAGGGGGAGGATTACTTGAGCCCAGAGGTTTGAGACTCATCTAGGTAATATAATCTTGTCTCTAGAAAAAATTTAAAAATTAACTCGGCATGGGGGTGTATACCTGTAGTTCCAGGTCTCAGGAGGCCAAGGTAGGCAGACTGTTTGAGGCCAGGAGGTTGAGGCTGCAGTGAGCTGTGACTGCAGCACTACAATACAGCCTGGGTGACAAAGAGAGACCCTGTCTCAAACAAACAAACAAACAAAAAATTGTTCAAAAATATTAGAGACCTGAAAAGTTCTATCAGGAGAGAAGGGCACAATGGACTATGCTGTTTGCTTTCATCAGGACACAGACTATAGGAGTGGAAACTGGGAAGACTAGTTTGGATCTGCAGGACACACTCTTCCATGAGAAGCTGGAAGGTATGTATGAGTGAACCATCATATCTCAAATGCTGCTTTTCTCCTATGAATATATGCCCTGAATACTAAACACAGTCATAATTTTTGCTCTTACCACCACAGACTAGATTGGCAGACTATGGCCTTGGTGGTGTGGCCGCTTCCCTCTCCAGGCTCTCACCTGGCTGGTGGAGCAGGAGGCGGGTGGGAGTCAGAGGAGGGCAGACCCCAGCCTCCTGCACATACATCACTTAGGAGACATCTACACTGGGTAGGGCTCTGGTTTCTTTGAATAAAGTCCTCATGCAAACCTTCAAATAAGGTCATTAAAAGTTAAAACACACCAGAACAGACCAGGCACAGTGGCTCATGCCTATAATCTCTATAAGCACTTTGCGGGGGAGCTGAGGTGGGAGGATCATTTGAGGTCAGTAGTTCAAGAACAGCCTGGCCAACATGATGAAACCCTGATGCTACTAAAAATAAAAAAAAAAATACAAAAAAATTAACCAGGTGTGGTGGCGCACACCTGTAATCCCAAGTACTCTGGAGGCTGAGACAGAAGAATCACTTGAACCTGGGAGGCAGAGGTTGTAGTGAGCCGAGATAGCAGCACTGCACTCTAGCCTGGATAACAGAGTGAGACTTCGTCTCAAAGAACAACAACAAAAACCCACAAACAAACAAATAAACACCAGATCAAAATCTGGGCAATTTAAAATAGCAAAAGAAACCTTCAAATTAAAAAATATACATTTTACTTGTTTAGAGACAGGACCCCCAGGCTGGAGAGCAGTGGTGTGATCATGGCTCACTGTAGCCTTGAACTCCTGGGCTGAAGTGATCCTCCTGCCTCAGTCTCCAAAGCAGCTGGGATTATCTCTCAAAATGAGTTTTTACATGTTGCAACCAGCCAAGGTTATAAATCCTGGGCTATGGGAAATGAGTATCTAACAAGTTTACTCTGTGAAAATATTTCTGTGAAAAATGAGTGATGCATTAGCACAACACTTTGTAATAACTATGAAGTCTAACCGATCTAATTATTTTCTTTCCTGCCTGGGGTTTTTCTAGGTTACCCCTGCTTCGGGTAAGGGGGCTCTTTCAGGGCTTAATGGTTTGCTGTTGTCCTGTGCTTCTGCCCAGTGTCCCCACACAACGTTACACTTCGTGGCTGCATTTAGACTTTACTGTAAATGTGTGTTTCACTGCTCACACACTGTCGCCCATGTTATCTTCCCCACAGATTGGGAGGAACCCAGTATTCCCAGTCCCTTGAAACAGTGCCTGGCACAGAACAGGCCTCACACAGATGAAGCTGTGTATTAGCAAGGAAAGATATTCTTCCTGTTGTTAGTTATTAATATAAGAAATGGGTTGCAGGCCTGCTTGAATGAGTTTCATTTTTACACAATGTATTAACATAACTGTTCATAGCTCCTTCCACCTGTATTTAACAAGTTCCGAAAGAGTATTATCTGTGGAGTTAAAAAAGAAAAGTGAACACAAGAAGGAGAGATGGCTAACCATAAACTAGGTACTTGATGACAATCTATAGCAGCATCAGTTTGGAGACAAGTATCCTCCCTTTCCTTGAAGCAAAGTCCTAGTCTCTGGAACACAAAACTGGGAAATGTATCAACTTTGGGGAACCGGAGAAACACTGTATTTATCCTAACCGATTTCCTCCTCTCACGTCCAGGTGCCTCCGTTAAACCAGCTTTTGGGAAAATCTGTGAAGCCCATTCAGCTAAGCGGCGCATGGTCACCGGGCTCTGCGCAGCCTTCCTCCTCGGCGACGCTGAGCAGGGAACCCCAGGACAGGGCTCCACGGCGGACTCTCCCGGGCAGGCGCCCCGGGCCACCCTACAAAGCCTCGCCCTCCAGGCCGCAGTCCAGAGCCTCCGGCCTGCTCGGGGTCCGCGCTGCCTCCAGCGGACCGTACTGAGAAACCATTCGCTGGCGGGTCGATGCAACGCGACCCTCAGGACACCCCGGCGTGTGACCAAGCATAAAGCGTTTCTGTTTTGGTCCTCTCGTCTGCCCCGCTTCACCTGCGGGGTGACCCGGCCCGCCCATTCCAAAGGGACTCGCCCTGTGATCCACGGCGATTCCAGGCCGTGCCGGGACGGCGGCCAACGTCCCACTGGCGATCTGGACCCCGCGCCGAGTCCGCCCCAGCCTCGATGGGACCGGCAAGGGGCTGCGGGGACTCGGCGGCGAAGGCATCGTGGGAGGAGACGGGAGGGTCCCGACGCGCGCCCCAAGTCAGGTCCTCGGCCCCAAACCCCCGCCTGGCTCCTAAGGACCTGGGTCGGCCGCCCCAGTCCCAAGGCCACTTACCTCGGCCTGGCCGCCGAGCCGCCGCGCGTTGCCGGGACAACGGCGCGCCAGGAACGCGGAAACAGCCGAAGGTGAGCGAGGCGGTGCCGACGACGCCCGAACCGCCCCAAGCGGCCGGAAAGAGCCGAAGGCGATCGGGCTCGCACCGGCGTCTCTTGACAGCCGAGCGCCGGGGCCCGCGTGATTCTGCTCCACGAGAGGGAAGCGGGACAAGCTTTTTCTAGGAGAGGCAGCGGCGCGGGGCGGGCGTCGGGTCCCCTTTGTATCGAGGCCGCGCTGTCACAGCCCGGATCCCGCGGGAGGCACTCCGGGGGGAGGAGGACCGCCGCAGCGTTCTCTTCTGGGCGCGTCCCCCTCCCGCGCACCCCGAGGCGGGGCCTTTCCACCGCGGGGCGGTCTCAGCCCGGGCCAGTCTGGGAGTGGAGGGCGCGGGGCGGGCGTTTCTGGAAAACGCGATGCGCTCGGCAGTGCCCTGAGCTGCTGGGTAGCGGGGGGCGTCTGTCCACCTCCGGGGCCCGGACGCCGGGGAAGGGAGGGAGGCAGGGAGCGCCCCCCGCCCCCAGAAAGCAGCTGGCGGCCGGGCGGATCGCTGGAGCCCAGGAGTTCGAGACCAGCCTGGGCAACACGACGAGATCCTGTCTCTACGAAAATTAGCCGGGCGCGGTGGCGCCTGCAGTCTCGGCTACAAGAGGCTGAAGGAGGCGGGTCGCCCGAGCCCCGGGAGGCGGAGACCGCAGCGAGCCGAGCTCGCGCCCATGCACTCCAGCCTGGGCGACAGAGAACAGAAAAAGAGAAAAAGAAAGGCTCTAATTGGAGCCGGGGGCGGTGGTTCACGCTTGTAATCCCAGCCATGTGGGAGGGTAAGGCGGGCGGATCACTGGAGGTCAGGAGTTCGAGACTAGCTTGGCCAACATGGTGAAAACCCGTCTGCACTGCAAAAGAAACCGGCGGGCGTGGCGGCGCGCGCCTGGAATCCCAGCTGCTCGGGAGGCTGAGGGAGGAGACTCGCTTGGACGCGGCAGGCGGGACTGCACGGAGCTCAGACTGCGCGGCTCGGCCACGCTAACGCAGCGCAGAAGCACACACCCACCCCCCGGAAAAGGGTGCGCGTATCTGCCTCCCACGCCCCCACACTTCTCCTCAGAACTCAGGTTCGCGCCCGAAGCCAGACTCCGAGCTACCGCGGCGTTTTCTTCTCACGTATCCGTCAACACGGCCGCGGCCAATCACAGCCTGGGTGCTGGCCTATTGGCTGTCTGTCCACCAATCCAAAGACACGCATGGTCCGCAAGGTCGCGGGGCTGGCGTCACAACACTACTCGCGCCGCGGGCTCGCCTCCGACGATTTCCCCGGGCCGGTGCGTGCGAGCGCGCCCGCCTGGCGCTAGCCAATGGGAGCGCCGTTTTGGGGAGTCGCGCCCGAAGAAACCTTGGGCGTGCTCGCCTCCGCGCTTGTCGCCCCGCCCCGCGCGCCCGCGCGCCCCGGCCCCGCCCCCGCGTGCCGTCCGTGCGGTCCCCGCCGGCCGCCGTAGCCGGAACTGCTGCTGAGCGCGGCGGGCCGGCTTCTCGAGGCTGAGCGGCGGCAGCATCCGTGCTCGCAGCCCCCTCAGCCGCGCGCCGGCCCGCGGAGGGGACGTGACGGGTCGAGCGCCGGTCGGCCAGCTGCTTCCGAGGCGGACGACCGGCCCAGCGTCGCGGCCTCACTGCAGCCGGCGCTCGGGTGCCGGGGCAGCCGGGCCCGGCTAGTTCTGCGGGCGCCCGGGGAGGCCCCGGGGAGGCCCCGGGAAGCCAGGCTGCTGCCCGGCGTTGATGAAAAAGGTGACTGAGGCTGGGCGCTGGGGCTGTCATGGCGAGGCCCGCACCGGGGTCCTGTCGGGCGGCGCGGGAGAGCGCGGCGGGGCGTCACTGCCACAGCGCCCGGTGCAGCCCGGACTGGGCTCAGGGCGAGGAGGCTTCTGCTCCCCCATCCCGAGAGGCTAGCGGGTGCGGAGGGGGGTAGGGCTTGAGGAGACGGCGCCTCCGAGAACGGTCAAGTCCCGTTGAGGGTTCTCGCGAAAAGGGGGCCATCCCCGTGCTTGCTGGCCCTCGAGGCAAGGGTCCTTTCGGTGGCGAAAAGGGCGTCCCCGCGCTCGGACGGCGTCTTCGGTGCAGTGGCCGAGTCTGCTTGGCTCAAGTCCCGGGCGGCCTGCGGGCGGACAGGCCCCTGGGCAGCGGGGTTCCCTGCTTTCTAGCCCGAGGGAGGCCTCTGGGGTTCGGGTGTGCAGAAAGCGGCGCACTGAGAAGAGTGAGGCGTCCCCTGCCACGAAATCCCTGAAGTTGGGGTGCTGGTCGTGTGTGGTTTCCGTTCTTTGGCAGAGTTTTTAAAGTGATTCCCAAGATCAATTCCAGCGGGAGAAAACGGCCACGGATCATCGTGTATGTGGTCTGAACCCGGGGTGGGGGCACTATTGCGGCTTTGGACCCATTTTCCGATCCCTCGGAGGGAGACGTCCTCCTCCGCGTCCCTGTGTTTAATGGCCAGTGGGGGTGCCTCGGTCGAGTGTTCGTTGGCAGTAGAAATGTTCCCGTCCTCGGCAGCTGTGTTCAGCGCAGGCTCAGTGTCTGTGGAGGAATGGAATATTGAGCGTTTTCGGCTTCCTCGCACGTGCCCGTCCCTGTTTCTGGGCTGAAGCTGTTGGTGTGTACCCGATTCTCTGAGTTTAGTTTTGAGTCCTCTGCTTTCTGGGCTGCAGCATTTTTAGTCACTGCATTTTGTTGTTGACGTTTTTACAGGGCAGAGGGTAGCCAAGTTAATGCAAGAATTTCATTAGTCGTTGCCAAGAGTTTTAACACCATCGTCTTTGTACCGCTTCTTGCCCTTGGACCCGGACATACCCGGGCTGTCACTTTCCCGGGTGCTTCCAACCTGCTCCATGCAACAGGCTCCTTTGTTGCAAAAGCACTTTTAACTGGCAAATCCCCGCAGCAGCTCACATCTCCCACCCTGGGAAGAAGATTCCCAGAGTCCCAGAGCTGATTATTCTTTATGTCTGTTTTAAAATAAGCAGGCGTCCGGCGGCATTGGGCCACCATGGAGTTCCCCGTGCGGGCAGGGGAGCCCGCGCTTCTCCGGTCCCGGGGTGGATCTGGCCTCCTCCGCTCTCCTCCAGGGCCAACTCTGGGGGCTGGCGCGCCGGGCAGGTGCGCGGGACCCGGGAGCCCCGCGCGTTTCGGGGGGCGGGGAGGGGGTGGGACGAGGGGCGAGGGCTGGGGCTGCGGCCCGGCCGTCCGAGGCGGCGCAGGGAGCGAGGCCGGCACGCTGGGCCAGGCCATGAGCCGCGGCCCCGCCGGGTAGGTGGCAGCGGGCGGGGCGGCGGCCGGGACCCGCAGCCGTGCCCCGACCTGCGCCCGCGCCGGGCCTCCCATAGCCCTCGGGGCCGGGGCCCGGGCCGAGGCCGAGGCCGGGCAGGGTAGGGTAGGGTAGGGACCGCCGAGCTGTCGCGCCCTCCCGCCGCCGGCTTGGGCGTCTGGACGCGGGTCTCGGCCAGGGGGCGTCCGGGGAGGCCCGGCAGGGTCCTGAGCCGGTGGGCAGGGCTGGGGGCGGCGGCGCGGGGGCGAAAGGGGCTGCGGCGGGCTCGGGCGGGCTCGGGCGGGCCGGGCCGAGCCGCCGAGAGGGGATTTGGAACAAACAACGGCGGCCATGTTGAGAGCGCGTCGGGGCGGCTAAACTTCCCGGCCTGCGCCCGCCTCACCGGCTGCCTCCCCTCTCCCGGCCGCAGGATGACAGTGAAGTTGGGCGACGGCGGCAGCGGGGAGGACGGGCTCAAGAAGCTGGGCAAGCGGGCGGCCGATGAGGAGTCCCTGGAAGGTGAAGGGGCCGGCGGCGCAGACGCGGCCGAGGAGAGCAGCGGCACAAAGAGGGACGACAAGACCCCCCGGGTCGGCGCCGACGGCACCCCCGCGCCCCCCAGCGCGCCGCAGGCGCCGTCTCCGCCGCAAGGCAGCCCCCAGGACCAGCACCACTTCCTCCGGTCCAGCGTGCGGCCGCAGAGCAAGAGGCCCAGGAAGGACCCTCCGAACGCCGTGGGGAGCAGCAACGCCGGTGGTCCGGGGCCCCGCGGAAAAGGTAAGGCGGTCCGTCTCCTTGGGAGACCCCAGCCCCTCCCCAGGGTGTGTCCCGGGGGAGAGGAACCCCTTGTCCCAGCCGTGCTCCACCCCAGCTCACCCATCCCGCGGCCTGCACTGAGGCCCTCACTTGGGGTGGCACTTAGCTGGGATGTGTGTCCCCTCTCTCCTTCGAAGAGGCTGCCACTTTTCTATATTTAAACTCTTTGAAGATGCAGCCAGTATCCTTTCTTTGGGAGAGTCAAAGAGATCCCCTAAAGCTGTTTTCTTCCCAAAGGATCATTGATAGTTTTCTATGGTTGTCTGTTATAAACAGAGGACAATAGTTGAGAAAGGGGAAGAGAAGAAAATACCTGCTTGTATCTCTTTTACAGACATCAGGTGGTGGAAGTGCAACAAAGGCACAGGCTTTTGAAACTCATTGGGGGAAGATGGATGAGAAACGGAGAAAGGATCCTTAGGGTCTGACTTGGACTCATTGTCCTCTCCTTCAAGTGCTCCTGGCTTGAGAGTAGGAAGGGCATAGAAGTGGGGGCCCTTTGAGTTGCAACTGAGGTTTACTTCTGTGCCAAAGAAAGGAAAGAGTGGCGAAAAGGATTGTGTCCTGATGTGAACAAGCAATAGCTTGTAGTGTTTGCCATTGTATTCCGAGGGGCTGGAGAATGTTGTTACTTAGCTGGGGTCTCCACCAAGATCATAAGAAAACTACGTTTTAGTTTTGTTTTCCGTGTGCCAGTACTTCATTGTTGTCTGCTTTTATTTATATTTCAGCCTTGTGCTTTTCCTAAAACAGGTGAATGGCTCTTAGATTCTTGTTTCTGACTACCTTTGCAACACTTTGTATAAATAGCAAATATAACATCAATTTCCAGTAAGTTTCACATTAAAAAAAAAAAAACAAACTTTCACTACCTTCCTTGGGAAGTGTTCATTTAAATTTAGTAAATGGTCCTGGTAGTCTTAAAAAGGAACTAATGGAGAACCTATTTTGGAGATCTGTGCCAAATGTGTCCCATTGAGCTTGCTTCTCCTGCTGCATTCTCAACCAAAGAAGGCTGGCCTCTGGAATCATGGCTTTAGTCACTGATAAAGAATTTTGTTAAAGCTGTAAATATAAGGTAACTTACCTTGTTTCCGAATTTAAAACTTGCCTCATATAAACTTACTTTGGTGTGAAAATTGCCAGTTTTGGGAAAACATTACTGGCTTTGATTGTTACTAGTTTTTTATTGTAGGTTACAGGTATGTCTAAGCTCATGTAAGCTCTGTGGTGCCTTCAAAGGTTTGTTGTTTATGGTTCAGAAGGCCTGGACCTCAAGTCCAGCCAGCATTCGCCACCCCCATGCCCCTGGCCTCCAACCTTCCTCTGCCCCTTCACCTTCTTGGAGACGCTTTTCTGTCGGGTGTCCTCACCTGTGAGACAAGAAACGAGGGCAGCTGCTTCATCCCCTTGAAGTGTGGCTGCTGGAAGGGGAATAGTGCAATGGTGTGAAAGCGCTGAGACGTGTATGTGGCTACTTGTGTACAAGTGAAATGCCGCTAAGACATTGGTGATCAGGTAGATTTTTGGCAGTCAAGTGATGAGGAGAGGCTTACTTTTGTTTGTATAGTTGAGAGCAGCTTGTTAAGGTGCAGAAGGTTTCCTGAGCTCCTCTCATGCTCAGTTGGCTGGCACTTGTGCTCCTGCTTCTTGTCCCACTGTGTGGCTTGGAGAAGCCTGGGACTTTTTATTATATTTTAATATTAGTAAAATACAAATTTATTAGAATTTGTGCTGCTCATGACATACTCATTATCCCACTTTAGCAAACAAATATTTCTTTAATGAAATGAGCTGTAATAGTGGCTTTTAGGAGAGGAGTAGGAAGTGGGTCTCCTTTGCATCACAGAACTTCTTGGCCACCGTCTGCCTCAGAGCTTCCCAGGAAGGATCGCTGCCTGTCCACTTCTCGGCCACTGTCTGCCTCGGAGCTTCCCGGGAAGGAAGGCCGCCTGTCTGCTGCTGTCTGCGTTCACGCTCCTCTGTGCCTTTGGAGGCATTTCACTGTGCCTAGGACATCCCCCACCACCAGTCTTTGGAGAGACCTCTGCTCAGTCATCACTTCCATTACCTGTCAGAAAAGAAGACCAGGTGGTGACAGCTGCCCTGCAACACTCTAGCTCACCTTCCAGAATAATGCTTAGGGGAGAATTCTCTTACAATCTGGAGAAATCTGCACCTGGAGTGGTGAGCACCTGTCAGTGAGGAGACAATCAGTTCTTCATTTTTCAATTTTTCCGTTGAAAATGGTGTAACTTCGGTTATGCATAAGGAATACATAGCTCAATCACTGGCAGTTGCTTTGGTTGACTACTTGACTACTTGATGCCCTGGCCAATTGCAGTCTCAATGGGCCTGAGACCCTTATAGTGAATTTGGAAGAAGGGGTTTGGGGGGAAAGAACAGTCTCCTTGTTTGGCTTTTCTGCACACAGCTGTGTTTTCTTTCTCTGTAAGAAGAGACTCTTACTGACTTCAATGAAAAATACCTTTTTTCTAGTACAATTTCAAACTTAAATTTATGTTTGCATTGACGTAGGGATAGGAGCTGAGATTTCGTGTCTGTGTGCCAGGCGTCTTGCGTCTCTGTAATTTTGCATTTAAATGAGTGCAGAAGCTGAAGTCCATTGTTTAACTCATGTGCTCAACCTAAACAGAAGGTAAGCTGCAGACCAGAAATCCCAAAACAGACGTTCCTGCAGCTGTACTACACCACCGAAGTGATTCCGGGACACATTGGAGATCTGGGCTCAGAGCCACAGAAACTGTCTGTAAGATGTCGGTCAGGAGACACAGGCCTCACACTCCTCCCTGTTTGGCCAGTTAATGGTCTGGCTGGCTCTGAGCAAGCTACTCCATCTTTAGGATAAAAGAGACACCTGCCTCAAGCCACAAGGTGCTTAATGGGCACCTGGTACTTTTGCTATTGAAAATGTGTGCAACTGCAAGATGACAAGACTGCAGGAGGAGGCTGCACACGGGTGGGGTGGGGGCGGGGCACACCTGGGGGGTGAGTGCAAGTCCCAGGAATGCTCTTGAGCTGGTGTTCTGCTGGGGCAGATGGAATGCGAGAACATTGGGGGTGGGGACAGAGACCTGCTTATTTGGTCCCCTCACTCATCCCAAAGAACTTCAGTCCCATCAAGGATGGGAAAACGCGCCATCTCCAAAACCGGGTAGTGTAGTCTGAAGTGACAGTTGTATGTAGGAAGCAGTAAACGACTGTGCAGAATTTACTCTTCTTTATATTTTGTATAATCTGTGGCTTGCCTGTAGTTTCTAGATGTTTCAAAAAGAAGTCCTATAAAAGATTGGACTTGTAGTCCCAGCCACTCAGGAGGCTGAGGTGGGAGGATCACTGGAACCTGGGAGTCAGAGGCTGCAGCGAGCTGTAGATGCTGTGCTCCAGCCTGGGTGATGCAGCAAGACTGTTTCAAAAACAAAACTAAAGATAAAGTAGGGAAGGCAACATTAGAACATTGGTTTGAAGGCTGAGCTGATTTGCAAATACCTGTACACTTTTGATATTAAAACTCATTTCTGTTGTGAAGTTGTCTAATGAAGTATACATTCAGATTTTCATTTTTGTGTTTTATTTTAGGTTATATGAGGATATCAAGATAGCAGAGAGATTATTCCGGATAGCAAAGTCAGAAATGTGAAAATTAGTGTGGTCGTATAAGGTGGTGTATGGAAGCTCTTTGTCACGTGAAGTAACAACAGCATTTTTAACACTAAAGAACCAGAAAAAGGAGATATTCCCAGGAGTTTGTAGTTTAGTTGGGATATCTTCAATTGCCTACCAGATGCAATTAGGAAATCTTATGGTATTTGATGAAGAGGGCATTTACTTTTATAGAAACCATGGAGTTCTAGTTGTGTTTCTCTCAAATATTTGTGGGAGGAAAGGGAGAAACTTCAAGAGAGACATCACTGGTCAGAAGATGCAGGAGGACGCTGAGCCTTGCAGGTACTGAGGATGGGAGTCCCAGCAGAGAAGGGGACAGTATATGTGACTCCAGGGGGTGTCCTGGAGACCACTAGGTTTGAGGTCACCTTCAGAACCTGCAAGAGAACATTGCGGAGTCCGGCGACCCTGACCAGGGCTCTTGCAGGCACGCCTGGAGTATGGACCGGATCTTGAGAGGGATAGGACGATGCGAGGCTGGGAGGAGTCCGTTTGCTCACTGACTGCCTGTTGTATAGAATGGAGTGGCAGCACAGTGTGTTGACGATGGGGCTGGGTAGGGGAGGCTCAGGACTCACCTGCTGAGGTGACACCTTGCCTGCGACTTGGCTTGCTTGAAGGATCCCCCCAATGTGACCTTGGTGGAGATGGTGTCCACAAAGCCCTGAACCACAACTGCATCTCCAAGACCAAAGCTGCTGGCCCGAGCCTCTGATGTGATATCCTGTGTTAGGAGAGACGCGGAATGCCTCAGGAGATGTGAAGGTGGACGAGTTGGACCTCTGCAGTTTCTATACCATCCTTGGCCTCCAGGGAAGGGTCCCTGCTCTCTTATGCTGCAGACAAAGGCCATGAGGACGCTTCCCTGTGCTGGAGATGCACTTCCACGTGTGGGTCTCACCAGTGTCTTTCTGAGAATGAATGAATCCTGGGGGAGACACATGTGTTCACTGTGGTCCTCTCACCTCTAGACCAGCCACTGACTCCCTCACAGTTAGTTGGTCTGCTGTCATTCTTGATTTTACTGTTCCTGACCCTCAGAAGGAAGTTCACCAAACCACAAAAAGAGTGCTCCAGGACAGTGAATGGATGTTATAGACAATGACATGGTGTCACTGGGCTTTTGTGTCTGACAGACATTTTCCAAAGGCCCAGGTCTGGCTGCCTATTAGCCACGTGCCTTTGGGCGAGTCATTTAACTTCTCACCTTTCCCAGGCTGAGGAAGGGACCTTGAGGTTGGTGTCCTCCATTACAACCCTGATCCTCCAGCCTT